CACCACATCAACATCCCAGTACCCCACACAGCTACCCCAGCCTTCATTACTGACATAGGTTAGGGTGGGGGCTCCCTAGTGGGCTCACCACATCAACATCCCAGTACCCCTCACAGCTACCCCAGCCTTCATTACTGACATAGGTAAGGTTGGGGCTCCCTAGTGGGCTCGCCATATCAACATCCCAGTACCCCTTACAGCTACCCCAGCCTTCATTACTGACATAGGTATGGTTGGGGGCTCCCTAGTGGGCTCACCATATCAACATCCCAGTACCCCTCACAGCAAACCCAGCCTTCATTACTGACATAGGTAAGGGTGGGGGCTCCCTAGTGGGCTCACCATATCAACATCCCAGTACCCCTCACAGCCAACCCAGCCTTCATTACTGACATAGGTAAGGGTGGGGGCTCCCTAGTGGGCTCACCATATCAACATCCCAGTACCCCTCACAGCCAACCCAGCCTTCATTACTGACATAGGTAAGGGTGGGGGCTCCCTAGTGGGCTCACCATATCAACATCCCAGTACCCCTCACAGCCAACCCAGCCTTCATTACTGACATAGGTAAGGGTGGGGGCTCCCTAGTGGGCTCACCATATCAACATCCCAGTACCCCTCACAGCCAACCCAGCCTTCATTACTGACATAGGTAAGGGTGGGGGCTCCCTAGTGGGCTCACCATATCAACATCCCAGTACCCCTCACAGCCAACCCAGCCTTCATTACTGACATAGGTAAGGGTGGGGGCTCCCTAGTGGGCTCACCATATCAACATCCCAGTACCCCTCACAGCCAACCCAGCCTTCATTACTGACATAGGTAAGGGTGGGGGCTCCCTAGTGGGCTCACCATATCAACATCCCAGTACCCCTCACAGCCAACCCAGCCTTCATTACTGACATAGGTAAGGGTGGGGGCTCCCTAGTGGGCTCACCATATCAACATCCCAGTACCCCTCACAGCCAACCCAGCCTTCATTACTGACATAGGTAAGGGTGGGGGCTCCCTAGTGGGCTCACCATATCAACATCCCAGTACCCCTCACAGCCAACCCAGCCTTCATTACTGACATAGGTAAGGGTGGGGGCTCCCTAGTGGGCTCACCATATCAACATCCCAGTACCCCTCACAGCCAACCCAGCCTTCATTACTGACATAGGTAAGGGTGGGGGCTCCCTAGTGGGCTCACCATATCAACATCCCAGTACCCCTCACAGCCAACCCAGCCTTCATTACTGACATAGGTAAGGGTGGGGGCTCCCTAGTGGGCTCACCATATCAACATCCCAGTACCCCTCACAGCCAACCCAGCCTTCATTACTGACATAGGTAAGGGTGGGGGCTCCCTAGTGGGCTCACCATATCAACATCCCAGTACCCCTCACAGCCAACCCAGCCTTCATTACTGACATAGGTAAGGGTGGGGGCTCCCTAGTGGGCTCACCATATCAACATCCCAGTACCCCTCACAGCCAACCCAGCCTTCATTACTGACATAGGTAAGGGTGGGGGCTCCCTAGTGGGCTCACCATATCAACATCCCAGTACCCCTCACAGCCAACCCAGCCTTCATTACTGACATAGGTAAGGGTGGGGGCTCCCTAGTGGGCTCACCATATCAACATCCCAGTACCCCTCACAGCCAACCCAGCCTTCATTACTGACATAGGTAAGGGTGGGGGCTCCCTAGTGGGCTCACCATATCAACATCCCAGTACCCCTCACAGCCAACCCAGCCTTCATTACTGACATAGGTAAGGGTGGGGGCTCCCTAGTGGGCTCACCATATCAACATCCCAGTACCCCTCACAGCCAACCCAGCCTTCATTACTGACATAGGTAAGGGTGGGGGCTCCCTAGTGGGCTCACCATATCAACATCCCAGTACCCCTCACAGCCAACCCAGCCTTCATTACTGACATAGGTAAGGGTGGGGGCTCCCTAGTGGGCTCACCATATCAACATCCCAGTACCCCTCACAGCCAACCCAGCCTTCATTACTGACATAGGTAAGGGTGGGGGCTCCCTAGTGGGCTCACCATATCAACATCCCAGTACCCCTCACGGCTACCCCAGCCTTCATTACTGACATAGGTATGGTTGGGGGCTCCCTAGTGGGCTCACCATATCAACATCCCAGTACCCCTCACAGCTACCCCAGCCTTCATTACTGACATAGGTTAGGGTGGGGGCTTTCTCAGGGCTCACCACATCAACATCCCAGTGACCCTACCAGCTACCCCAGCCTTCATTACTGACACAGGTAAGGGCTGAGGGTTCCTTTTGGGCTCACCACATCAACATCCCAGTATCCTTAACAGCTTCCCCAGCCTTCATAACTGACATAGGTAAGGGTGGGGGGCTCCCATTGGTGCTCACCACATCAATATCCCAGTATCCCTAACATCTACCCCAGCCTTCATAACTGACATAGGTAAGGGTTGGGGGCTCCCATTGGTGCTCACCACATCAATATCCCAGTATCCCTAACATCTACCCCAGCCTTCATAACTGACATAGGTTAAGGTTGGGTCTCCCTCAGGGCTCACCATATCAACATCCCAGTACCCCTCACAGCTACCCAAGTCTTCATTACTGAGCCTTCATTTCTGACATAGTTAAGGGTGAGAGCTCCCTGAGGGCTCACCAAATCCACATCTTAGTATTTCCCACAGCTTTCTCTACAGACGTTGGTAGGGGTTGGGGGCCCCTTCGGGGTTTGCCATATCAACATCTAACTACACCTCACAGCCTTCATTATAAACATTGGTAGGGATTGGTGATACAAGTTTATTAGACCTGTTATTTATTTTTCCTGGTTTTCTCTAAATTTCCCATAAGCGTAACGTGAAGATGTTGATCCTTTATACATTTCAGTGTGTTTGAGATGGCGTTTACACTTCGAGTTTGTCACATCCTGTGTTCCCATTCCGGAGTCGGAGCGGCCCAGCAATCCTGATGAAAGTGCTTCCTGGAGAGGTCCTCCGACACTGAACGTCGAAACAATGGTCTGGGACTTACCGATCAAAATATTTCCTGCCAATCCACTTCATGCATCTAGTGTTACATGTACAAAATCACTATCAAATGTACAGATATAGTTGGGACTACTATTGTAATTTGTATGCAAAATTTTGAACTTAGTATTTGTTTTTAAAGTAAAAAATGAAATACCTTCACATTTTTCAATGACAGGAATCTGGATATAGGAAAGTTTTTATTGTAGTATTTTTAAAGCCAAATGGAAGAGGCCCCCCCCCCACTTAATAGGGAAATATAGCCAGTATGGGAATTACAAAAACTGGCCCTCAACTAAAGTCTTAATATTGTTGCTTTTGAATGCTAATTAAATTGCATTTACAAAAAAATCAAGGCCAGTATATGTATACATGTGGATCATGGAAGAAGTTAGTTGAAGACATTGTGGATGTGTGCAATATTGTACTTCCTTTTGACTTGCATTCCGAGGTTGGATTACATCTTGGTAAAATACTGGTAACTGAGTTTTAAAGTTTGAACAAATGGACAGTTGGAATGAACTCCTAACTGATTGTGTATTGCACTATCAATATTTTTTAGCTTAATATACATGACATGAAATGTTATTTAATTTTTGTTGCTACTTGTACTCAAAAGAAAAATTGCATTATTTTGCTTTAAATTCAAAGTGATTGATTATATTTTGATGTATGATACCTATGATTCCTGTGTAACATGTCTAAGTAAAACCATGAATAATTTGGAAAACTATATCCTATTAGTTTCTATGCAAAATGAACAGGTGTAGGACCTTTTGGCTGTTTTCTAATGAATAACATTTATGGCCGTTAGTGGACTTTGTTAAGGTAAGAAATTGATATGGAGTTTCCTTCAAAGTTATTCTGCATTATCAAACAAATGCCACATATTTTATGAATTGAAAGTATCGGTGAATATGTATGGTAAATCTGTTTTTAAAATGATGAATCTGATATAAAATTGCACTTAAACTGTGTTGTAAAACATGAACAAAAGTTTAGAGATTATTACTCTTTCAACCCTATGTAACTTTAGTAGACTCTACCATGCATTGATCTGGATGAGTCCATTATGGTCTACAGTGGTGAAAGGGTTAAGGATGTAAGTACAATTTTGAGCTATAATATGGAACCATTAGTAAGAAATTACAGTATTTGTTCCTACACAGATTTAATGTAAATAAGAGGTTTGCTGTGTGACAAGTTCCTACAATGGGAAGTGTTTTTGGTTTGACAGTTATGATACAATTGTATATGTGTTCACTGTTTAATTCAGAGTGGATTGATTGAACATAATAGAATAATAGATAAAATAATAGACTCATAGATCTGCGATGGACAAGAATGATCATTTTCGCTGAAAATCTGTGTTCATAGATAAAAGGAATGAGAAAAGTTGCTTTTTAAAGGATTTTTTCCCCGTCAAGTTTATAGATATCCAATGGAATGGCAACTTTTTGGGAATTCTTTTATGATATACATCTAAGTTCATTCTCTTCCTATCGATATATAGAATATATTCCTATATTCCAATTATAGAAGTTTCAATTTCTTCCTTCGTTCTCCATCATGGTGCTAGACAGTGTGATAGTTATTTGAGTAATGTACATTGTAATCATGAATAGAGGACCACCTCAGATACTTTAATGCTTCATTTTGGTATATTCTTCGTTAGGGAAGTGGAATGCCATTGAAGCAGCCATTTTTATATATGTACATGTATACATATTTTGTACATAGAGTTACACAGTACATTTGTTACATGTTCATGGTTTATCCTTTATAAGTAGTTGGCCTTAGGGTACAGTTAAAACCTATGTATGTACATCAGAGGCCATAATGTAGGATGTATGTATATTTGTTTTGAGTAAATGGCCATCAATATTTTAAATGTATATGCTATATGATAATTTGTACAGTGTATATACATGGAAGGAGAAATGGTATGACATATTCTTTGCTGCTTTGTAGTCTCCCATCGATAGTCATGAAGGTTTACACTCTGTCTTTAGACAATCTTCTCTATTTCTTGTCATGTACTATTCCATTTACCAAATTTGGTATTCATGTTCTTACTAAAATAGTGAAGTTTCACATACAGTAAAAAGGTTGCTGTAACACATATTTAGACCTCCGACCTCAGTCATTAACTCATTCACCCCTAAAGACATATTTGAATGCTTACAATGCAAAAGTTGGAATAGTTCATTATGAAAGTTCAGGGGTGAATGAGTTAAACCTGTTGGTTTGGGGTGTGTGTATACTATTTCACATAGAGCTACCAAATGTGACATGCAGGTACCTCTCGAGGGGGCAGAATGTTTCATACTTAAAGTAGGTCAATATGACCTATTTTTTGACATCTAGCATTATCATTGAAACAGGAATGTCAGTCACTGCAACCTACCTACATGTATGACTCGAATCATAAAAACAAATTTGTCCATATTACAATCATCACTTTGTTTGCAGCAAAACAATTGAGTATTTATAAATTTAAAATGTCTTTAATGTACTTCAATATGTGTATCAGCATTGTTGGCAAATTAGGAGTCATGGATTGACAAAGGGACCAGTCGGTCTTGAAACGTTGCGACATATTGAATAGATACATTGTTTGTGTAGAAAGCAAAACTTTGATTTTATAAGCACTGTATCTTTCTTTCCAACTCAGATGACCCTGAGAAATAAAGGATTGTGTACAGTTTGGCAAATAACAAAATTGATATTGGTGGGGGACTATGGGTTTCCTCACAATACATTGCCTTGTAAATAATAAATGATCACTCACTTGTTGCTTTTCGTCCTGCGATTTATTGGTCCCGTAAAGCAAAATCCACATTTACCATGTATACAAACCAACAACAATAAATAAATACAATGAAAAAAGTAGTAAATGCCATTAATTCACTGGCATTGTGTAAAACTTGTCACAATATTTAAGCTCTGTATATCACTGCCACAGTAAATAAAAAGAACCCAAAAATTGTGAAAAAAATGAACACCAACATTAACAGTATCCAATACATGTCAAAGTGATTTGAAAGTCAATATTTGCTACGACTAAAACATACATAAAATATTTAAACAAATGGAAATTTGCCATTTCTGACAATTTTAAGATGTTTTCCTCAAGAGTTCTTCTTCTTGGTGCAGTTGGATTTTGAAGCACATCTGTCAAAAACGGCAGGTATTTGGACCACAAGGACCAACACCATCAAGAAGAATTTGATAAAAGCTGCTCCATAAAATATTGCATCAGAGTCCCTAGGCAGCTTGATATTTTCCGACATCAGAGTCACACACAAGCTTGAAACAATCTGCAAAATTTTTGACATGATGTGAACTGAACCTGGTTTTTCTTCAGATGATTTTTTTTCAAAGATGTATACACTGAATCCAAATCCTGCAATAAAAAAAAAATGACATTTAAGGAATGGACAAATTTGTTACAAGTCAGAACATGCATCCTTGCCGTCTGTGAGAATCACACACATTATAATCCATTTACATTAAGAAAATGATTACTGTTGCCACAAATATAAATTAACACCTTGGATTTACACTCTGTACCAACCTGCCAGACAGGAGATGTCCCTGATGACGGCAAAGAACAGCGAGGTGTCGGGGTGGACCCAGGTGGATGTAGCACACCACTTGTGGGCCATTGGAATAGACCACAAGGGGTCGTAACCTAGCGACAACAGGGCATAGTACGTCAGCATGCATCCTCCCACAGCCACCATTGTTCCCAGCAGGTAATGTTTGCTACGGAGGCTAGCAACAACATCCATATTAATGATTGCTCCTATCCCTATTCCTGTAAAATGTTGAAAACAGATTTAAACCACGTTATTAAAACTCTCTACTTAAAACCAATAATCGCATTACAGTCTAATCAGGCATATCCCACATGACACATGCCAATTAACGGTTCAATAGGAATCATAATTAGTAGTTATCTTTGAAAAAGTTTAAAGCTTGTTATTCTATTACTGCCAAGCTCCAACACTTTTGATTCATGTGTGACAAGATTATTAAATATTGGCTTTGTTATTCAAAAATTCAGCACTCGGTCCATGAATGAAACTAACGGAACCTACCTATCAAAGTACCCATAATGACTTGATGGGGGAAATGAGTCGCTATGAAAACACGTGAAATATCCACTGCCAGAATAATTGCAGCAAAACTTGTCCATAAAGCAGCCTGCATGATTCTGCTGAAACAAAGCAAAATTCACACTGCAACAAATCATTTCACGAAAGAGTACTGCTGTCAAAATTTAAATCTTCACAGTATAAGGTGACCAATTGTAAAAATTTAAAGAATAGATACTACAAATTGGTAGTAAATGTCGTCCTTCTTTTATCCAAAAACTATAGTTACCACTCGTTAACCAACTAGAATTTATCAATTTCGAATATGACTGATGACCAATCTAACACCAGCACAGCAAGACAAGCTTAGGTAGCAACCATTTACCTTTGGTGTTTCTGTCTGGAATCCAATATGCCCTTTACAAGGACAAAGAACACTGCTGATGTCACCATGGCATGGCCTGAAGGACTTCCTAAAAGACACAAGTATTAAACCACGGGACTTGAATAGGTGTAGTTGACTATTAGCATATTGCAATTTCCAGTTTAGTATATATTTCCAGATAAGTTTCTGGAATAAGGAAACCCTCCAAGGTATTTTAAAACTTTTTAGAAACATTTCTGGCATCTCGTGAAAAATAACAAGTAATCTGATAATTTATCGGAGATTGCATCATGACACTGTCAATATTGTTATATATTTATTTAAACTTGTACATATACTGAATATTTCATAAGAAATAATTCCATTCCTTGTATAAATGATTTGTATCACAGTATCGATGTGCTTACACAACAGTAAATATGACGATAACTTTTCAAATTTTGCATGTAGTTATATTGCACATTTTGTAACAATCAAAAGTTGATCGAAGTGTGAATCCTTAAAAATATGTACTGTTTTGATAGTCATTTTTGTAAGTGTTATTTTCCAGCCACAATAAATCGATGAATACAATACAACAAAGGAACAGTTTTAAGTAACACAAGATTCCCAACAATCAGGAACTGAAAATCAAGCACTATCCATATTCCCGTTTCCTCCAGCAGAAAGAATACAGTATTGACTACATACCTTGTCCTGTTTCACAGACATTGGAAGTTTATTATGGACATTGGACATACGAAGTCCTGTTGCAATGGTAAAGTAATTCTATTCATTAAACACCAGGTCCTGTTTTTTCAAAGATCAGATGATATAATGCATTCAGCACTTACCTGGTCCTGTTTCACAGGTAAGAAAATATTCAGTTCATACCTGGTCCCATTCCAAAGATGATATTGGAGTTCAAACCTGGTCCTGTTTCACAGGTAATATTGGGTACAAACCTGGTCCTTTTCACAGGTAATATTGGGATACAAACCTGGTCCTTTTCACAGGTAATATTGAGTACAAACCTGGTCCTATTCCACAGGTAATATTAGGTACAAACCTGGTCATGTTTCATGGGTAATATTGAGTAAAAACCTGGTACCGTTTCAGGGTTGAGGAAATGGTAGATACATACCTGGTCCTGTTTCACAGTTGAGGAAATAGCGAGTACATACCTGGTCCTGTTTCACAGGTAAGGTTATATTGTGTAGGTAGCATAGTCTCCAATTCTGCCTTTTCTTTGTACTTGTAAGTCTCCCCAACCCACCAGTATGGCCGATCACCATGAAGGATACTTGAAAAAATGACACGTACATTAATATCAGCTGTGCAGATGACCACACTTGTCAATATTGTGGCAGGTGAAATACCCTTATTAAAGCCAAAGTGAGTCCATATCAAATTTTAAGACTGCGACAGGTGGATTATTTCTAAACATAAGTATGCATACAGTATAGTGAGGTAAGCCTCATACAAAACAGGTAAATGATGATGCAGTTTATGTGAACTTTGCTCAATACTCTCTTACATTCAGCACAATATGCCAGGTTTAAACTGAAATATTGTTTCCCTGTTTCGTACATGTACCAAAGGAAATATCCTATGCTTATCTTATTTTGCATAAATGAAGTTTGTATGACCTCTGGGGCCAAAGGGGCATGGCATAAGGTGGGCCTGATATATTTAAAATTAGACATGCAATTTCATCTTCAAAAACCTACCCCTACTGAATGACACACAGATTGCTACCATATTTGGTATTAAACATTGCCGGGGCAAGATGATCACTTTTTGATAAAATCAAGGTTGTGTATTTCCAGTAAGGATGTCACAATATATCGGAAAACAGGTGTATCGCAAAACACGGATATATCATATCGTACCATAATACAGAGATGAAAAAAACCCTTATTTTTATGTATCTCATTCTACTTGGTGTTTTAACTTTGCAAATTACTACAAATTCTAACAGATATGCCAATAAGCATAAAACAGACTTTTATAGTGGTGGGAATTAGTTCAGACTTTGTAATCGATGGTTGGTTTGACAAAAATCTTAAATCCATGTGATCCATATTATATATGATATAAGTGTGATAACATTCTGACAACAACTTATTATAAAATCGAGCTCATCTTTCCTATGACAATATATCGGGATACGTATCGCAATATATTCATTCTGTATTGCAATATATCGTGATACACTCTTGGCATATCATAACATCGCTTATCTCCAGTGAGCAGAGGGGCAGAACCTTGCATGTGTATTTTTGCTTCAGAATCATCCTGTTCCTGAAAAACTTCACAGAATGAAACCATATTTGGTTTGAAACAGCACTAGGTCAAGTTGACCATATTTTGTATGAACGAAAATGGTGCAGCCCCATGGGTCTGAATGATGGAGACCTAAAAGAAAAATATTGGGTGTCAAGCTGTACTATTAACGATCATTAAGATCCCAACCATATAATAACTACATACACTTACAGTGGGCATGAAAAGATGAATGCATCCATGCTAACAGGATTGCCATAGGGTCGTGCCCTGCCTCCAGAGACTTTGTCCCTAGGCAAATTAGTTACCATACACACAATATTGCTGGATTTGAGGAGACAAATAAATTTGTACTTATGGTGTTCGCCAAGGGATCCGGTTCCATCCTTCTGTTTTAATCACTGGGTCATATCATGTAAACGGTTTAGATCCACCCATATAACCATATATACCATTACAGTGCAGGTAGAGAAGAATACACTACTGCTTATAGGATTGGCCTGGGGTCTTGCCTCACCCCTTGGTACTTGTACTTCCTTAAAGGGGCTGGTCGGGGAAAAAATGTCATATTTGCTAAAATGACATACACATTTAAAATACCTTCTTATGAAATATACCGATTCAAATTTTGCTGAAATTCACTCCATAAGTGTAAAAAATGTAATTATATTAAAGAAATCCTAAATCGTCACCGACAGTCTAAAACTCTCAATTGACCCAGATCAGTGATGTAATTTTACCGAACGCGCGTCATCAACAAGGCCAAATGATGCATGCAAAAGTCATGACAGGCACGAGGTATCAATACCGTTATATATAACAACAACACATAGGTAGGAATACTACACTTGCATCATACATGACCTTCGAAAACGATTATTTACGTATAGTATTGCTGTCTTGTCTGCTAGTTGAGTCCCACATGGCACATGACGGCTTGCTATTGTTGTTATCTTCACTTCCTAACTTTCGAAACAACCACGTGACATATATAAATAGATATGCGTTAAATTTACGCGGGGCTTCCCCGAGATTTCAGTGGTCAAAACTGGACATTGCAAGCAGAACTTGACCATCATATTGCCGTGCTATAACTTTTGGAAGGCCAGAGAACGCATTTAGACCCATTTATTTTGTATTCCTTCCCCCGACCAGCCCCTTTAATCACAACATGGAAACTATTGAGATTCCAAACCTATAACCATATATACAATTGCTAAGCTTGAAGAGATCATTCTTATTTCTTAATTTGGATCCTGCCCATCTGTCCAGGGATGCTCTGTGTCAAATACGATATAACCCCAATCAGATGTACTTAAGTATTTAAATTGTCTTTTGAGATTATCAATCATCTTTTCAAGCTTGGGCCTCATTCCTTTACCCAAAGGGGACCATATCCTTCTCTTATACAAGGTTAAAGTTTGTAGTAATTCCAAAGCTACAATAATGGTAGCACAAAATGTCACAATTAGGAATTTAGGAGCGCAGACATCTTGGTTCATTGTTTTGAAGGAAGTAAGATATAGTAATGATTATTCATATAGCATTGAATCAACCAAATATCTAAACATATTGTAATAGTTTAGTTTTGAATGATATGTAGCTCTAACTCAATGATATCTAGCATATTTCTGTTAGTGACGTGTTACTGTATTGGATATTACATAACAAATAAAAGTCTTACAGTTTTAATACAGCATTCAGCCACTCAGCACTACAGGCTACCCACAACACCTGTGTTCCACGTGATCGGCTAAGGCAGAAGGCCACAGGAAAGTATATGAGGAATGCATAACGAGGGTCTCCAAGTTTACTCAGAAATAACATCCATTCTGAATAATTCTAAAATATAATCAATGCCATAAAATGATGAACAAAGGTATTCAAATCAGCACCATTAGTAAGGGATAATCATTCAGCAATCACTCATCTTTTTATCCCACAATCACAAACAGTGCTTAAGGGTACAGATTTATCATGCTCTGTCCCAAAATATATCCAGTAATTAATCTGGTTTAACAGCTATAGGGAACGAAAGTTGCTGGATTGATATTACAGTTTGGCTAGTGTATTTATATATATGCAATATATGTTGCTATATTTCATCCGAGATATTATAGATCTATATACATGTATTTACAAAATATAATAATATATAGTTTAAAACTTGGTAAAGATATTATAACAATAATTGATTTAAAAAGGAGAGGGATCTGTTCCTGAAAATACATTCATTTTGTACATGGTGAAGTAAAATAAATAATAAGCATATACTTACACTGAACTGTTTCTGTATGTAGACTAATGCCCACCAGCCATAGAAATGTATCTCTGCGACAGGGTCCATGATACACATGTCAGCGGCCAGATCAGATACCCAATGTATAAATCTCAGGATCAAATTCAATGCACAAATCTCAAGATCAGTGCATCATTAAAAAAATTGAATTGATCAAATCTGAAATACAGCAATTTTTGGAGATCTCAATATAATGAAATTTAAGCATTTACTTACAGACCAGCAGGTTGTGGTAAAAACACCACCACATGATTTGTTATAGTCCGAAATAACTGTAAAAAATCCATTTTATCTTTTAAAGAGATAGTCAGTTATTCCACGTAAACTATATGGTAACCTGCCACAGGCAGTCAATGGTGAAACACCAAACAGTATTTATCATTAACTTACTAGAAGAACAAAAAATGAATACCTTTGTCCATATGCATCACTCAGTAAATCGAAAGTAGGAGGAGTTAGTGACTAATAAAAGAGACGGATTCGGCTATGGTTTGACTACCAACAGTTATGTCCCCTTTTTGTATAAATATATCTACATTTTCTGTTGCTATTTGACATACAATTCATTGTGCAATTAAAATAAAGTAAAACGGTCAGGGAGAAATTACCACCGTTTTCATATGCTGAAGTATATGTTGTTTTGAATAAGAAAATTCTCTGAATATTAAAGATTTTTTTTCAGAAATATTTATATAACCCTACACCATATCACAATAGACCCCATGCAGTACCAGCCGTATCATAACAGACAAAAAATCGATAACGTTATCTTTTTCATCCGGGAATCAACATTTCAATTTTATAAAAATCAAAAAGACATTTTCTATTAAAAAAAGGCGCGTTTCTCACATGGGAAAAACTGTCAAAATGGGGGAAACTTTCACGCGTGAACGACAATCTTTTCCATTGATGAAAAAAGTACGACATACGTTAAACGTTTTTCGATCATGATATTTGTTTTGCTACCTTCACATAGAAAGAGTGTATGATGCATTTTGACTTGGTCATTAACATTGTCTTAACCCCAAAGGTAAATCGTGTTTATTATGGCATACGATATTTAGTGACATTAATTGCGGGGTGCTCAACTCACCAAAGGTTTTGTTTAACAAGCTCTAAAATGGCCGCAGGGTCTCCAAATTGAGAAATCCAAGATCACCAAGCTGCTACGTATACGGTGTTGACACATGCAGGTTGATTTCAAAGCTAATCTTAAATTATTAAATTTTATATTATTTTAGCGACTATATGATATGTATCATTGACAGAAGTTTCAATATGAAAATATACACTATAGATTGTTTATAGTATTGTTACAGCGTATGTTTATGTTATATACAGATTACTGAGACATGAAAGGTTACATTCAATACAAAAAAATCTATAAGATTTGTATATTGTACATTTTATCTTATTCATGTTTCCTATTGAGTCATCTAAATTTACAGTCATCAATATTTTCTACTTTGCAGCCATATGTATATTTCATCATTATTGTTTTAAGAGAGAATTAAGGCGAACTTTATGTTTTATAACTTGTGTCTAATCCCTTTGGTATTTTTGCAAATAAAATATGTTAAAATCAAAATTAAATCAAGATCAACTTGGCAACATTTATCTTCAAGAACACAAAGATTGCAGGAAATGCTATGAAAGACCTCATCGGTAACAAGATGATTAATCTTTGATGCTATGTTATAAACACTGGCTATCCGATAATAAACTTGACCTTTAGATGACGCGCATAATAAATACAATAGTATATAAACAGTCAAAAAGGTGAACAGTGACAACCCGATAACACCAGCCCAGATGCCTCTTAATATGGAGGAAAGACATTGACAATAACATTCGTCCCAGTGGAGTTTACCACAGAAAACAAGCATATCGTAGCCTCTGTTTAATGCCATTTAAATGGAGACGTGGCTATGGATACTTCTTAGACAGCAAGCACATCTCTACACATCGGATAGAGAAGACTTTAGGATGATTTGTTGACGAGCTGTGTCGAGAGAAAAACAGGCAGGGAAAACATTAATCCACCCCAACGGCAAAGGCTCTATGAGATCGACTACTTCATACATTCCAAGAGGAGAGAGATAGTCACGGAGCTGCTACAGATCCTTTACAACATAACATTTGACTACTCAAAGCACTACCTGGTGAAGATACGTATACGTGGAAAGACCGACAAAAGTGAGAAAAAAGAAGGATTGGCGAAAAAAAACCAAGACAGAAGATGCACTCGTTTCTGAGGGGTTGGGGGTAGGGGGGATTCTCCAGTTGCAAATTCCTAGAAGAAAAGGCGGTACAAGACATAAACAATCTGCTGACTCGAACATTGAAGCTCATTATCAAAGGTCCCGTTCAAAGCAGGTGACTAAAGAGATCCACAAGTATGCAAAGTTGGAACAGTGACATGACTGCAGCCATCGGAGCAAAGCGATGCTCCCATTGGAGTGAAAGCACAATGGTGAGCCGGATAACCCAAACAAATCCTAACTAGTAGCCTCTGGCAGATAGCCAGGTCTAGACTAAGAAGCCGTATCAGAGTAGAAGACACCCAGACATAAAAAGTCTATATATACATAGACTGACAACCATCCTGGAATACAGGTACATAGAGCGTCACAGAGATATACCACTATATGCCATAAAAAGATGGTTCAGACACTCCAGTAATCTATCAGTGCCGGCTGTCAACCCATTCTTCGATAGACACTTTGTACAGCATGCCAGGCTGAAATCTATTACATTTATAGGTGGATACGACTCATAACTGGTATACCATTATCCTGCAAAGATGAACTGTAAGCTATCTGCAAGCTTAATAGGAAGACGGCAGAGGATGCCAATGGCTCGGCAACCATCACCATGGCAAAAGAGGAAATAACTGTGGATATCACCACTGAGACAATGGCTGGCATCATAGCGACCTGAAATATCCCGAGTAGTCTAAAGAAGGTACTATAGCACCATTATACAAAAACCAAAGGCACCAGGTTTGTAACAAGAGCCACAGTGGAGTAACTAAATTACGCCCATCTTGACCAATACATTGGAAGCATTGCTGTTTAGTGTCATCTGTCATACAACATTTACAAATGTCCTCTCCAGAGGCTTAACTCCTCTAGCCTAAGTATTTTTGTTTCCTACCATCTTGGAAGATGTCTTGAGAGAGGCTAACAGACGAGAAACAGTTCACTTGAATTGCATCCTTAGATGTTAAATCTACTTTGACCATACCTTTACATAGGCTCAGAGCAGCTACAGATATAAGGCAAATTCGCCCTTGGAATAGCATGGGATGTCAAGCCCATCAAAACAGCTTCTGTAGATGCAAGTATATAGAAATCAGGAGACGCCTAAACAGCCTCATCAGCCCAGTCCAGCACGGAGACAACGACCTGGATCCTGTCGGATGAGTCTCCATGTTATGATGGTGTATGTACTGTCAATTCTGCTCGACGCTCAGAAAATGTGTATACCAAACGGTTATCAACTGCAGAGATTCCGTATTTTCCAGAAGATTCTCTCAAACAACTTCAACCGCTGCCAGTCATGACTGCCAACTGAGTTATATACATCCTAATATGAATCCTTCCAACTGAAGCTCAACTCTACAAAATAGCTCCAACACACTTTGAAGCTTTTCCTTACTTACACAAGATTTGCTTACAGACAGCGGAGAATTGAAAACGGCAATACTATAAATGGAACTGTGATATAAAATGGATGACATTTAAGTACGAACTCTATGACACCCCTGCCCTGCCATTCCCCTCCCCTCCTCGACCTAACCATCTATCCACTGCAGCAAAATATAAAACTTCAGGAATGAACGCAATCAGCGATCACACGGACGTACAATGCCCTGGAACGTCTGTATATATCGTCCTACAAACCAGGAGTACACCATCCAATCCCGACACTAGTGATAGTACACCTGGAATGTGACAAGACTACATTCTAGGCTATTTCTAGCAACGGGAACGTATATCCTTAAAACACAAAGACATGACAACGTTTGATTTAAAGTCTTTATAACGAAACGTTTTGACGCTTATCTTCTCGGAACACCTGGTCTTTTTTCTTTGTACCTTTTCAATGGTCTTCATGTAAGTCTTTGCTTTATTCTTATATCCTTCATTTCAGTGCGTTAAAATGATGTAGCATTTGTTGGAGCGAATTGTCTTAAATCGATTTTTCTCAGATTCTTGTTACGTCTCTACCGTTTTGTAGCTTTTTGTGGTGTCTCTGTTTGTCTATTGTTTTGTATAGCTTACATTTGTTGATCTTAAACGTTTTTGTTCTGGTTTCAATCCAGGTAAATACCCCGGAAAGTCACTGGATACACTTGGTGGGTTAGCCCTGTTGTGCCGCAAGGTTTGTTCTGCATCATATTACTGCTTCTTTTGGGACATACCTTAACAAACTATAGCGAATCGGTTTCTGTGATACACATCCGTTGGCACTCAAAATACAAATAACTATCTTGAATTATCGACATTGGGTTGCTATTGAGAATTGCACATCGCTGAGTTGACATGTCTTTATTGTTACCTCACGGATAAAAAATGGCACAAGAAGTTCATTTGTGTGAAATTTATCAATAAATCCACTGTTCAAGAAGAGGCGAGAGCTGGGTAAATTCGAATATTCCATGACTTCGTTACAATATGATGGAGTTGAGAACGGCGCGAATGTATACGACATACGATTGGCCGACGTGAAGCCTAGGAGGGAAGACTATAATTACGGTCATTGCGTTACAATGGTGAAACATGGCATGAGCATGCCCTTGTCTGGTATCCTTGCTGTCTGTGTATTGTTTAGAAATCTGTTAAGTAATGGACAGCGACTGACATATCGCCCAGAATGGTGTGGAGCGACAGTCTTACCAGCGTGGCAGTCTTTTAACTAAATTTTCAGAATGACATTTGAGATAAGACATATTTTCAAAATTACAATATTTTTTCTCTGTATAAAATATATAATGCCTGTACTTTGAAAATATATTAGATAAACTATGGCTTTATATCATCATTAAGCTTTCAGGCCCTGCCTAATGCTAGACCTTCACTTGGGAATCTGGTGCTAACGCTGGCACGTCGAATTATTGGAAATTTATTATCTGTAGTTCATCGGACGTGCTAAAGAACGAACCATTTTGAGGACATGACATTATACGTGAATATGATAAACGCCACGTGGGCGCGCTCAAATACATTGTCTCCGTCTAAATCAGTATTATAAGAATCTTTCAGAATTTATAACAGTAATATTGCTTTTAATTTCTGGTGCATAGAATTTTCATTGGATAAACAAAATGCACTTTAAAAAGAAATTGAATTTATATCTCGATTTTAGCAATATAAGAAAAAAATGGCACATTTGCATTTTTTTTTGGATGGATATGGCGAATGGATGACGAGCCGTTGATTGTATTTAGATACTGTCACTCGACCATAG